TCCAAGCAGGCAGGGCCTCATTTTTATCCCCTGGTTTAGCACATGAATCAGTCCTTTTGTATATGATCAGTGGGACTGTGTGTGTTTTCAGAAACTGTCTGGCTTTGTACCTGGCAGGCTTTCTTGTTGGGCAGTGGTAGTTCTCCAAGTGGGAAAGAAAACATGCCTGTTCTCACGTAGCCCCAGACTGATTTACAAAGCAGAGGAGATTACTGTTTTCTATCTGAGTATTGGGCTTTTGTTGCTTTGAGACAGAGATGTGTTATTCTGTACTTAAATTGGATTCTTAAAAAAACAGATTATTGAAAGGAAGGGTATTTCCCATATTATACTTGGCAAAGGCAGAGCCACACGTGCAAATGACAACGGATAAGAGAAGAAGGGATGTCTTATAAGTATTTTTAGTCCTGTAAGGCTTAATATGTTTGATTGCTCTGTATTTTCATTTTCTAAGTGTAATTTCATTTAAAAATGTCAACAGAACTTGGCTTAAGGCTTTGCCTACACCGTTTATAAAACACTCTCTAATCAAAACACGTTGCTTGTCTCTCGATACAAATGTAGCTGGGGCCATGCATCAGCCAGCCTGTCAGGGATGTTTTGCCTGCATAACATCTGACTCTATAAACAAAACTCTTAAGATTTGGAGACCTACAGATGAGTAGTAGAAGAGATATACAGTATTTCTCAATAACGTGAAAAATATAGACAGATATAAAAGAAAAATGAGATAAGAGCTTGATTAGATAAATATTTAGCTACAGGACTCGCTTGGAATGAAAATAATCCCGAGTGCAATTAAAATCTGATTTATTATATGAATGTTCATTTTCTCCTTTATTGAGGAATATGGCCATCTTGTTAAACTAACCAGCCTTTCACTTGATTTCCAAATGGAGAAATGTGTCTTAGTGGGTCATAGATTAAGTTCGCTGACTATGATTTTCACAAAGAAAATTGTGAATGCGAAGATCCCCACAACCTTAGAATTCTGAGAGACTGAAAGAGTAATTAAAAATATAAACTCTATTACCCTTTTCAAGTATTGAAAATAACTGGGTAATGATTTAGAGATTTCTCCCCATTTTGGTCTTTTAGCATAGAGTAAAATGACAATTTTAGAGAAATCACAGAAATTATAATGAATATCATATTTATGTACATGTGCAATTTTTGACATATATTTTTAATGTGTTTTGACTAAATTTACCCCCATTCATTTCTCTTCAATTTCTGCTATGTCATTCCATCACTTTCCTAACTCCATGTTTTATATTTTAACCCACTTATCTTATGTTTTTATTGCTGTGAAGAGACATCATGACCATGTGCTTCATATAAAGAAAGTATTTAATAGGGGTGGGTGGGTGACTCACTTCAAATTTCAGAAGTTCAGTCCGTTATCATCATGACAGGGAGGATGGTGGCTTACAGTTTGTCATGGTGCTGGAGCTAAGAGTGCTACATTTTGAGGGTAACAGGAAGTCAGTTGACTCACTTGGGAGCATTCCAAGCAAAGGAAACCTCAAAGCACAGGCCCACAGTGATACACTTTCTCCAACAAGGCCATACCCACAGCAACAAAGCCACACCTTTTAACAGTGAAATTATGGGGGTCAATTAAATTAAGTCTACTATTTTTCACTAGCTGACCCCCATAAGCTTATAAAAATAACATAAAACAAAATTCATTTAGTCCAACTACAAAAGTTGTTATAATCTATCAGTTTCAACAATGTTTTAAAGTTCAAAATTCAAAGTCTCTTCTGAGACTTATGCAATCTCTTAACTATAATCAACCTAAAAAAATCAGAATCAAAAAATGGATAACATACTTCCAACATATAATGTCAAAGGTTATATATTAGCACTCCAAAATGCAGGCAAGGGAACATAGTGAACACATAGAGTAGACAAAAATAAAATCAAAGGGGGTATAAAGAGGACATACTGAGGACATACAGTGGACAAAAGTAAGACCAAAATCCAGTCGGGCAAACCCTAACCTCTGCAGCTAGCTCCATGACTGATGTCAAAATGTTCTTCACATCTGAGACTCTGTTTAGTTTTTATTGGCTGCAACATGCTTCATTCTCTTCAACTGGTTCCACTCCCTGTTAGAAGCTATCCCTGGCAAGTATTGCATGACTCTGGCATCTCTAATATCTTGGGTTCTCCAAGGAAATCCAGCCTTCAACTTCACAGCTTCATGCAATGGCCTTTCTACTATGCCTTCCTTCAGGGATACCCCTGACACATGCCTGACCTCAGTGGTTTTATTAGATAATTCCTTTCTTCTGTCCTAACTCTGAACCCAGAACCATGTGACCAAACCTGCCAAGTTCTACTGCTTGATGGAGATGGAACATGACTCTCTTATTCAATTAGGTCTTCTACAGCTTTCTGCCTTTCACTGCATAACTTTGACTGTCCTGAAATTTGCTCTGTACACCAGGCTGGCCTCAAACACAGAGACCTCCAGCTTCTGCCTTCCCAGTGCTGGGATTAAAGATGTACTCCACCGTAACGGGCTCTAAGCTTTTCTTTAGTTCCTTTTTAGAAATTGAAAACTTGTCGGGTAGGATCTTGCCTTGAGGTCACCACTCCCTTTATTCCATTTCTTAATCCACCTATCTCCTTGAACACGGATTTAACTCTATTCCACTCCCTGGTACTCTATTTTTTTTCTCAAAATTTTTATTTTGTAGTTTACCCTGCTTAGCTTGCTCCTTTTCATTACAAATCTTTACTATTGTTATCACCGAAACCACATAGCAGAGTCTATAATAGGCTGTTTTGAGATTTCTTCTGCAAGTAGAATTAATCCAAAATTCCTTGCTTTGGCCTCAAACAGACTCTTCAGACAAGGGCAAAATGTAACCACTTTCCTCCCAAAACATCACAAGAATAATTTCTAGGAAACATGCTAAAATTTTTCTCTGAAATCTCTTGAGTGAACTCTTCCCTACCCCATAGTTCAAATAAGTCTTAGCACCATTGCCTTTTATGCTCCTACTAGTATGGGCCATTAAACAGTGCTTAAAGCATTCCACTTCTTTTCTAACCCAAAGTACAAAAGTCCAAATTTCTCCAAACAAACACATCGTCAGCTTTATCACAGCAATATCCGAGTCCCTGGTACCAACTTCTGTCTTAATTAGGTTCCCTATTGCATCAAGAGACATCACAACCATTATAATTCTTATAAAGAAAACATTAAATGAGGTGGCTAGTTTACAGTTTTAGAAGTTTATTCAGTCCATTATCATCATGATGGAGCATGATGAAGTATAAGCAGATCTAATACTGGAGCTGAGAGTCCTATATCTTGGAGGCAGCAGAAAATCGACTAAATCACTGGGAGGTATTCCAAACATAGGAGACCTCAAAGCCTGCACCCACAGTGAAACACTTCCTCCAATAAGCCCATATCTCCTGCAACAAAGTCATACCTCCTTATAGTGCCAGTCCCTATGAGATTATGGGGGCCAATTACATTCAAACTACTAGACCACTTAGTTTGCTTAGTGCTGTCTGTACATTGTTGGGTTGTAGGAATCGTCTACTGGAGCATGGATAACCTTTCAGAGGCCATATAGCTGATGAAAATTGACACTCTATTTGCCAGAAACCATCAACTGTAAATGGCTCCTCAGTTAGAAGTGGGGCTTCATGAGTCTCCTCTTTCATATCCATGGAGGGATTTTTATGTAGCTTGATATTGTGCAAGTCTTGTGTATATAGTCCTGTCTTTGATTCTTAAAGGGCTGAAGCATCATTCTGAGTCTAGATAGAGGGCATAAGCAATGAGATATAGAATGCATGTGGAGTCTCTTCGAAATTCGTGTTGAGAACCTAGCTCTCAGGATGATGGTACTATGAGGTGAGGATTTGGGGGCATGATTAGATAGTGAGAAAAGGGTGATGACCATATATGAAAAGACATGAAGGAGCTCAGTTGTCCTTCCTGCCAAATAAAGATACAGCAAGAAGATATCATTAATAAACCTGAATATAGTCCCTCGCAAGATGCTGAAGCTACCATTGCCTTGATTTAGGACTTCTCATTTCTTTGAACTATGAAAAAATTATTGGCCATTGTTTATAAACTAGCCTGTCTTTCTTATTGTGCAACAGTGGCCAAGTAACAGAGGTTGCCATATTATTTTTAAGTTTTTTATACTTGCCCGAGGACTTGGCTAGAGCTGTGAACTCACATTTTTCAGCTTGATGTTTCTGATTTCAGAGTTACAAGATGGGTACCAGTTTGCTCATGGGAATGTAAGGGACAGGCTTCTCTGGGCCTGTCATCTCTTCAAAGTGACCAACGGATTGTCTCAGCTATTAAAACCTGTACTGTGATGATGAATGGTGTTTTTACTGAATACACACTATAAAAGTGTGTGTATGTGTGTGCATATGTGTGTGAGTGTTCTGGAAAAGGCACTGAAAATGTGCATTAAGAGAATAAAAGAATGAAACAAATGTCAAAATGACTGATTACATTATTAGAATAAGTAACTCCTTTTAATGTTGGGATAAGGTTTTACTATGCCATCCAGGATGATCTATAATTCATTAAGTAGAATGTGTATCCACCCTCCTGTGTCAGACTTGCCCATGCTGGGATTATGGGCATTGTGTCACTCCTGCCTGTTCATGACTGAACTTCTGAACTGAAGCTCCTGTTCAGGTCAAGCTTAAAACTAGAAGGGAAATTATTTCAAGTGACAACAATCCCTTCATGCCCTGGTGTGGGAGCTGATGCTTTGATGATGGTACGAACTCTGAAGTAACTAAATCAATCTAAGTAACATATGCATTAGATCCCAAACTGTACTTTACTTCAGCATTGTGTCTGTGGTTAAAAAGATATAGAAGAATATTGTTGATCCCCACTGAGATTTCCAGCAGAGCAGGAGAAAGAGGTGCCCAGTGCTCTTCGGTGATGCGTGTTCTCAAAACTTTCCCAGAAGTGCTAATGACTCTTTTCCTTTCAGCTATCCATGTTGATAAAGTCAACCTTCAAGTATACTGTGCGTGGTCGCTTCTGGATAACTTTGAATGGAACAATGGATACAGCAGACGGTTTGGCCTCTTCCATGTTGATTTTGAGGATCCTGCTAGACCCCGAGTCCCGTACAGGTCGGCCAAGGAATATGCGAAGGTCATCAGAAACAATGGCCTGGAAGGAGCTCTGTAAGGAAGGTAACTGGGAAATGGCCTTCACAGAAGCCGCTGCTGTTTGAAAGACCCGAAGGCTACTTTGGTTATGTTGTCTCAGAGAACCTCAAGTTTTGTTCTCCATGATCTGTGATTATAAAACCTGGATCCTAGGAATGTTATCTGTATTTTATTAGAAGATGTCTTAGTTAGTAAAATAGAGTATCACAGAAACTGATTTTCAGTTAAAAAAAAATTAGATCTACTTGAAAACTTCAATTTAAAATTTTAGAAAAAATTCCTGGGAAAAGAATGAAGCATTTATGAAGATAATGCACTGTTGACTTGTAGCTCTAACTGCAGAGTTCTTAGCATAAGCGTAGATTTGTACCCCTGCTTACTTTGAGAGCATAGCTATTTTTGCTTAGGAAATTTCTGTCAGTGTTTGATTCATAAAATTTCTAATATTTAATCTAGCACAAAATAACAAAACTAAAAGTCACAGTATGCATTCTGTCCAACAAAGGAACTGATAGTAAATTTAATAAAATGCATTTGTTAATATGTTTACAATACATTTTGTCAATGATTTGTTAAATATGTATCTTTCTCTTGTCTAATGAACTTTGGAAAATAATAAAAAATGAATTTATGAATTTGAATGGAAAGAAGATATCTTGCTTTGCCTCTCTTTGTTTCGTTTGCCAGTGTCAGGGATGGAGCACATCACTTTGTGCTTGCTAGGCAGAGTCTCTACCACCAAGCTGCATCCTCAGCCCCAGAAGCAATATTTGTGTTAATATTTATCAAAATCCCAGATTTCAGTCAGCAACAATACCAAATTCAGAGTGAAGAGACAATCAGGACATTAGCCCCATCTTTACATGTTTTTATATATTTTTAGAAAATAATTATTTTAAACTGTTTCATTATCTACAATTTTACGCATGTGCACAATGTACCTTGAGACTATCTATTCTCTGCTTTGCTCTCCCATTTACTCTCTCCAACATGTTCCCTTTGCTTCCTTTTGTTCTTTCTTCTTAAAAAAAAGAAGAACAACAGTAAAACCACCAAATCTAATTGGTATTTCATGTTGGAATTTTGATTGATCTGGGTGGCTTGTTCCTGTGCCGGTAGTCATAATTGCAGTGAGCTGCTGTATGCAATTTCTGTTTTGTCCAGAAGACAGCATTCCATAATACAGGACCCCATCCTCTGGCTCTTACATTCATCCCCTCCCTCTTCTGAGTTCCTCGAGCCTTGGGTTGGTTGTAATTCTATAAATCTTTATTTTAAAATCTCATTATATAGACACATGCTTTGAGTGGCCAATATGAGTGTAAGCAATGGAGATGCAGGGATTTACTACATTGGAAACTAAGATGTTTGAAATGCCCATGGGGTTGGTTGAAGTTGTTGGTTTTCTGAACTTTTTCAGTGGCAGTCAGCAGTAGGTACAGGACTCCTTTGGGGGTTCCATTTTGCCCTCCAGGACATCTATCCTATGTGCCATTCTGTCCTTTTGTGATGATGAACAGTATTATTATTATCCCCTTTGCTGATGGGGAAAATGAGGCAGTCCACACAGTATAATTCAAGTCATATATATATATATATATATATATATATATATACGGGAAATAAATATAATATCTGGTCCTAGGATCTCTCACATCAACTTTTATCCAGCACACTATTTGTTAGTGGAAAGAAGATATCTTGCTTTTGCTTTGTAGATTCAAGTCGTATACATATGTTTTATCTGGTTCTAGAATCTCTCACATCAACTTTTATCCAGCACACTATTTGTTAGGATTCCCTGGGAGTACTCTCTGTATTTTCTGGGCAGGAAAAGAGACAAAGGCATTAAGTTGATGACACAGCAGGAAACAGGAAGGGTTTCCAGTCATCTCCTGCAGCTTCCCCTAGGAAACTGTATAGATTTGGCATCCTTGGAAGGCCTTTTCTGTGAGTAGATGAAATGTCATTTTTCCACTTATAAACTGTGGTCAATTTCTGGATCGTTTTCATGTTCATTATAAGGGAATTATTTACAGTGGGGAACACAATTTCAGTAACTTTGGACAGAGTGAGAAAGAATCGGTCATAGTAGTTCAATAAACATGGATGCACCGGGGAAAATTATATTAAGATTAAAATGGTATACATGGGGAATTCTATTACATCTTTGCCACTGGTTTGTTATTTTTATTGTTCAATGAGACATTATCTCACAATTTGTGTTCATTTAAGAAGCACATTTCCAAAGCTTATTTCATTCCTTTCCAATCCAGCTTGTCTTTTTCATTTTTACCATGCATCTTGTTTACAATTTATATGCCCTCTTATATTATCTTGCACGGCAACTGAGTTTTCCTTTTAATTAGGATGCTGCTTTGAGTATTACTTATCCTGTGGGGCAAATTCACAAGTTTTACAACAATACAAATGAGCACTGTGTTTTCCTTTCCAAAACCAGAAAATTAATATTCCATTGTAGATAAAACAGTCTGTCACATTTGGTCTACCAGGTGAAATAAACATTTGCATTGCTCTTGCCTGTGCTTCTTCCCGGAGCTGTGGACGTTTGCAGCCCTTTTATGGCTTTCGCGGTCCAGCTCTTCATTCCAAAGGTGGACCACACAAAGTGGGGTCCCCTATTAGTCATATAACTTAGTATAAGTTACCCTGGGATTAAAATGGAAAAACCAACAACAGTAACAAGAAAACATAAAATCCTCATGGACTTCCCCTTCCATCCATAAATTCTCACAGTCCCTATAGTATTTCAGTTATTATTGTTCTTAATGGTTTGTCTTAGCATTTAAGAACAAGATTGGTTGTGCTTTGCCTACCCAAGAATCAGAATTTGAATTCTTTAAATGGAAAAGCAAGAGTTGTTCATTATGCTTAGGCCCCATAAATATGGTATATCTAGTGTGGAAGGTCAGCTGATGGCCATGTTTTATATAAAGGAATAACTAGAGATCTCAGTGATAGGTTAGAATTTCTTCTGTATTTCTCCCTTGATTGCTTTACTTTTGAATTTTTCTTTTTCTTGGTATGTGAACACATGTTATCTACTTCTTCATGAACACATTTAAGAAAATTATTTTTTATGTTTTTAAACATATAGTTTGTTTTAAAATAGAAAATTGGCAGGTTGCTAAAAATATCCAAAATGACAAGGCTCCTTCATTCTTATCGGCCGGATGTTTGTCTCCTTACTCCCGTGAAGGGAGGGGCTTCCACCTGAGTCCTTTAGTGCATGAAAAGATGGATGTAATTTCTCATTAAAGCCTCAAACCAAGAAGTTGGCAACCTCAGTGTTTGGCAGGAGAGTGCCAGTCATGTTTTTATGTCCTGGGAATTTGTGTTTGGCCTGTAGCTTTTAATTATTTTTACGAACTTGAGAATAATGAATACATTTATAATATATTGAAGGAAATTCCCCAATACTGACTGACCAAAAGAAATAGATTTATATGATAATCCTTAAACACCAATTCTATTACTCAGTGCTAGTCAGAAGGAAAATAGAATGCCGAGCCTTATTACTGGGAGCTCAGAATGTAAATCAAAGCTGATGGAATTAATACTGTTTAATTACTAGCAGCACACCTCACCTGGAGAACACATATTCATCACTCAGCATAATGTTTTAGGCTGCAGTTGTCCTGGGAGGGATGCGGGGCAGAGCTGAAAGCACTATGTGCTCTAAATAATGGTCTTATAAGGGACTGCCATACCTTATGATGGCCTTTGGGAATGGGCGACAGCTGTGTGCCGAGAGGCAGTGGGTTGAGTGGAGAGGATGAAGTCAAAGTGCTCACTTAAGATTGGGGGGAAGGATGACTGCCATCAGTAGAGGTGATGGATGTGAGGTTTTTATATAGTGTTTTATCAGCATGTGTTTACTGTATGTGATAGTGAGTTGCATTGTGTTGCGACATTTTCATATATGCATAACAGAAGTTCACTTTGATACTACCCCCAAAGAATCAACTGGACTTGTTGATGGAGATAATAAGGAATGCCAAGTGAATTTTCTAAAGGATGCCAATTGTATATATGTTTAGGAGGGAATCACTTTGGAAACCTGGGATGGTCATAGGAGTTTTCCTGGGCAAAGGAATATCAACTAGGCTGAGAGTGGTAATGAGTGCTTATAACACTAGAACTGAGGAAGTAGCGGCAGAAGGATAGGAGTTCAAGGCAGCGTAATGACTTTGAAGTCAGACAAGTACAATTTGTGCTACTTAAGTCCTTTTGGGTGTTTGGCTTTCTACTTGGATGATCTAGCAAGGGTCAAACTATGAAAGCAAACTGGTCCTTCCCTCTCCCAGCATCTACCACACGTCTTGCTTGAGCTTGCTCAGGTATTGTGCATACTGTTACAATTCTGTGAGTTCATATGTGCAACTACCCTGCTAGGTTCTCAAACTGCATCTCTTTGTAGTCCTTCATCACCTATGGATCCTACGATCTTTCTATCTCCTCTTGCATGATGATCCCATCTACCTGAATCACAGAATATGAAGAAATCAAGCTGGGACTCATCTTAGTCCTTCATCCCTAGATATTGGTTAGTTTCATGGTGCTATCAGGTTTTATACATGCTACTGGAGGAGCATGTAATTATCAATATTACATTGCAATTATCAATATTTACTAGCTATGAACCCTATGAGCTACAATAAAGACCAATCTGACAAGACATTTTCACTTGTACAATAATGATAAATAGTCATGAATGTAACCAACTACTTTCTGATTGGATTTAAGGCCTGCACCATAAGATTAACCTCATACCTAACACCTTTACTGGGACCAAGAATCTATGGGAAGAACCTGCTACTATGACTCTGGGTATAGAATTTAACTGATTATTAATGATGTCATTTTATCCAAAGATCATTGTATCTCTCAACCATCATCAGAGAAGGTATTTTTACAGTAGATGGTGATCAGCTCAGAGTCCTGTCTGCCACTAGTCAAGGAAAATGAAGAGAGTAAGAGACAGTGGAGCATTCTCACCTTTAAACTGGACATTTCTAGCATAATACCTCATGACAAACCTCAGTGACCAATATCACTTATTGGACATTTGGGTAATGAAGGTTGGAAAACTCAAGAATGGCTCTGTGAAGAAACAATGGTACAACAGATAGAAAGTGACCAGCATTTACTTTGTTCTAACCAGGAACACAACCTACAAGGATTTTAAAATACCGATTACAAATTTGATATTGATGACTTTCTCTTGTCTAGCATTGCTAATTGGTGTTTAAGCTGTACACATCTTCCTGTTCCTAGCTCTTTATTTTTCTAGTGCTGAGAATTAAACCCAGGTCCCCGTAGAGGCTGCACTAGTGCTTTATCACTGGGTTATTCCCCTTAGTACCTGGTTTCTTCTTCTAACTAATATGTCCTCAAACCATTTGTTCTTCCCAGTGATGGTCTTCATTAACCACCACTTTACCTTGTACTACAGGGGTAGTTTTAATGTAATTGCCCTCATAAGCTCATAGGGAGAGGCACTATTAGGCATGGCTTTGTTGGAGTAGGTATGGCCTTGTTGGAGGAAGTGTGTCACAGTGGAGGTGGGCTCAGATATATTTCAAGCTATACCCAGGGTCCCAGACCACTTCTTGCTGTC